TCTTCAGGGAACAGTGAAGGGTCAGCAGTGAGAGCTTGTACAGCAAACTGCTCGTCTGCTTTCAGCTTCCTCCCCAGAGCCTCACGCAGCATGTGGTAAACTGCCAAGTTAAACACCTACAAACATCAGAACACATGCAGTCATGGTAAAAAGAAAACACACCTTCTGTCAATTCTAAGGTTTTACATACCAGGACATAACAAGCAAGCGAGCCTGAGCAGGTCTTAAAATCACCTAAATACAACCTGAGATGAACACCAATATATGGCATATTACATTGTGTCATTTATTTAAAATATAGAAGGAGTGTGTGAAAAACCAAGTACACCTTTACTGCTTCCATTTGACTTAGGAGGCTAGGTAGCAGCCAGGACCTGCTAATCAAATAGACTTAATTAATTGATCATCAGCAAATGTGACCATGTGGGTGTGTGTAACACAAGGCCAAGGAGGAAAGACAGCAGCAATGACCAAATTAAAGAGGATGTACAGTCATTTTGCTGTGGTTGTACATTTTGCAAAATTGTAACTATGTGAATCCATAACTCCTATGACCAATAGCCTTTCATGTGTAGGAGGGTTGTTAGGCCCCACATCAGTCATTACCACTACCTAAATTCTTTAAATGAAAACCTTTTCTTCTATTGGTATCTTTGTAAGGCTTGTGAAAAATGCATTCGGTTCCAAGTAAAAGACACCACAGTCGCATAAATATAGACTCCATTGAGGCAATTCAGAAATTCTGACCAGTCAGAAATGATTATTCCTCAGAGCTATTGTAAATCAATGTCAATTAAGCAACACTAATTTTCTATAACAGCCAAGCATATTTGTTCAATAATAAATTAAGTTTCTGGTAATTCAAAGTCATAAATCAATGTAATTTATCTAATCTAAATTAAAGACTAACAACTGTAAAACAAATTTTTCAACATGTAGATTTAGCAGCTGTCAACTGTCAATGACTTGCCAAAGGTATAAAGGATGCTGAGCTATGCACTCTACATAGAATCTGTGTGCACCTATGAGCAAACTACCTTGCAGTGCTCCCATTTTTCCTGGGTGGTGCTGATGTTTCTGGGACAGTGAGTTTCTTCCAGATCCTTTCTTAGTGCTGGCTGCTGCTGCTTATCACTAAAAGAAGCCACCAATCTGGACAGGGCCCTAAAGATGGAAGAGGCCTGCTCAGTGAAATGGGCACTTTCCTATTAAAAGAGAAGAACAGTTGGGAGGCATCTCAGTTTTATTTAGTGTTGGGAGTTTACACAGACAGAAAGTAAACAGGGACAGTGTATCATGCTACAATCTGGTGCACTTCCATGGTGATCAAATCAGAATTGCTTATAGAACATTTGCTATATGCACATAAACAGTGATGGGCTAAGGCTACACAATCGACAAAAGAAAGATGACAAATATACATTCAGCTATACAAAGGTAAGAGAAGATGTGTGAGAGCAGAGTCACTAACATGATGTGATTTTTTTAAATTGAAGCTGGAGTAAGCCCAGTTTCAAAATGCCACAGTGAGGAGATTGCAACAAGGGCAATGTTATCCTCTTTGTCACTATGTTCCAAAAAGCTCTGCTTTTTAAAAAAATAATGTCATGAGGTAAGATAAAAAGTTGCACATATTCTCTTTAGTTTCCCTTTATTTTATTCTGTTCCAGTGATTTCACCACAAAATATCATGACAGATGTGCTTAAATTGAACACCATGAGGGCTAGTTTCTTCATGTGTTTAACCACCCCTTATATTTCTTAGTCAGTATGTGCCCCTTTGACCCTTTCTATTTACATATACTGTATCATCAAAGCGATCACTTCTATTTTTGTGAAAATTTTCCTGGAGATAAAAAGAAAAGAAAGAAAGAAAGCCATTTACATTTCAAATCTTATATCAGAAATGTGAATGTGTATCTATTTAGTAGCAGCATGTGGCAGAAAACGGCTGCAGGATAATATTCTGAAAGGAGTGCCACTGCTCAGAAAGCCACCCATTTACTATAATGGAATTGCCATCATTGTCATAAATAAAGGCACCTTTGTAAGGTGTGGCATGATGGTTTCTTCTTCTCCAAAGATAAATGGTGTCTCGCTGCAGAGGTGGACATGGTAACCCAATGCTGCATTTATGTGGATGCACAGCACATGCCGCCTGATGGGGAGAGCACAAAAAAAAATTGCATTCTGAAAGCAATCACTCATTCGTTGCACTTTCCTAAAACCTGTGGTTTCCAGCCTATTTGGCTTGTGACCTTCAGTCTGTCCACACCGAGCCTGACGTGTTGCCATTAGTTCAACCACAGAGTGACGTTTCCTTCTTAGATTCTATACTATAAAACTATCTAGGATAAAGAAATCAAAAGAAAATCAAACTATTTGTGTAGAATCACCAGCTCTTTTTGTCCTACAACCACATTTCCAAAAAAATGTGCTTCTGCATTCTATTTTTATTTACATTTTGCTGTATTTAACAATTAAAGCTACTGACAGAGAACGTGAATAGCACTGATTAACTAGTTACAATGTGATGGTTTGGTGCAAAAACGTGGGTCCTGTAATTCATGTCGTTGTTAACAGAAGCTACAAAATCAAAGAGAAATCCCTTTTTTTCACATTAGAGGAGCTATGTTCCTGTCAAATAATACTGACTAGGTCAGACAGTCAGATGTGCAGTAGCCTAATGTCCTCTCCACCAAGTACCAAACTGAGTTCACAAGGCCTGGTCAGGCATGAGAGAGTGGAGCTCCACTTTCTTGGCCCCATTAGCTTTACATAATTTAGCCATTACAGCCCTAACTAGATGGATGAGCACTGAGGCGGAGCTGGGCTAGTACTGTGGAAACATTCAAAAGGGAAATAAATGCGAGCGAGACAAAAGAAGATAAGGCGTATGGGAGAGAAGACAGTGAGAAGAAACTAAAACAGAAACTGAGACAAAAGAGACTTAAAAACAAGATTATAATGGAAAAAAACCTCTTTAACATTAACAGATTAGCACAGATCATCATGTGAGTGGTGAGACCATAAAGTTTAACATATGAAAATGGGCATACAAAGAGAGCTTTAAAATGATTGCTGCCCAGAAGCAAGATCAGATATTATGTCTTGGAGAGCTAATACTATGAGGTTTATGGGCATGGTTAGTTGAGTGCTATGTGTGTGATTATGGCTCAGTGGTAATTGCACTCCTCCATACCTGCACCTGACCCCAGAAACTAGGCCCTCTGCTTCTAGGCCAAGTCACACCCAATAATAGAGACTAGGACAGATGCTTTTTACTGCTTTTCAGAGCATCTGAGGTAGGCAAGATATCCTCTGCAGGTTACCCTCTGCAGGATACTCTACAGCTATGCAGAACAGATCTTTGCTCAGCTGTATAAATCCCAACAAGTGTGAAACATGAACATTTTCTTTTCTTTGTCAAAAGATCTCACAGGTGCTGTACAAAAAAAGAAAAATTCACCATTATTAGAACAAGTTCCCGTGATGACAATTACATACCGCTTAGGGTAATTTAGGATTATGAGAGTAAATGTGAAGGAGGAGAATTAAAGTGTTAAGAAATGCTAAAACAGCTGATTTTTGGTTTCAATACATAACTTGACAATGAAGTCAGAAGATAAGGTTTAAAGCTGCATACGGATGAGATTAGAATGGATACAATTGTAATGCTTTTACTTAGTATTGTGTGTTGAGTGTAATGTTTTATTAGGAAATCATAGCATCACCAAAATCCTAGGCAAAAGAAACAATGGAGCATAATAAGTACAGTACGATGATACTACAAAGGCATTACTGCAAATTTAATCTAAGACTATCATTTTGATCAAAATACTCTACAGTTCTCAATATAAATCAGTGCTGTCCTACCCCGAGGGCAAGTTTAACACAGCTGCCTTTGTGGAGGTGGTCTTGATGGAGAGAACTGGCAGCTGAGACTGCAGACTTGTCCAGGAGTGTGGCACGGCGATGAGAACTGCAGACCTACGTGCTGCTGACATTTCCTGTTCTGTGAAAGTGGAGTAAAAAAAATAAATGCACTGGTGGCACTCTGCAGGGAACAAAATTACAGTGGATTTACAAAATAAAAATAAAAATAACCCAAAACGTAGATTAAATATGTCTTTGATGCACGGTTTGTACCTGCAAGGAAAGTTAGTGTTTGTGTTTCCATGTATGTGTGTCTGTGTCTGTGCACTGATAAGCCCTTACTCTCCTCAGCTGCATGTTCCCAGAGAAGAAGAGAAGAGAAGCTGATGAGGATCTGGGAAGGTTGCAGGCTGTCCACACACAGGTAATAAGTGCCTCTCACCTCTGGACACTGCTGGAAGAAACACAAACACGGAGAAGGATAAGTAGAAGAGAGAAAGAGCAGAAAGCCGTCGGGAGACATGGAAGATAAACTAATAGAACGGTGGCTTAGTGGAGGAGAAGTTGAAGGAAAATTCAGAGAAGAGAAGGGAGCATGGTTGCAGTGGGGGATTCAAATAAACAGAAGTAAAAACAAAAAACAGGTGGAGGCTTCATAGTTGGCACCTAAATGAGAGATAGAGAGACAAAGAATTAAGTAATGTCAGAAAAAGCAGCTGCTGAGAAAGGCAAAGCAGGAGACAAAGAGAGGGGAAGACTGACAGAGACCAAAAGGGTCAGAAAGTATGGATTTCAGAATAACAAGTCGAGACAATTCTTAGTGTGCATATTGGAGTGTTGCTGTTGTTTACATGCTTACTTCAGGGCTTGCTACAGCAAGGGATCCAGAGCTAAGTGTCTGTGTGGATGATCCACTGCATTTGACGGCTACTGTTGTTTTGGAGAGGACAGTATTCTGCAGATAAAACCAGCTTAGTTAATCACAATATGTCCCGTACAATTACTAATTGTATGTCAAAGCACAACACACAAGTTTAGTCCCGTAGATAGAACTTGCACAGTCTGTACCTTAAAATGTGATTTCTGAATATGATGCTGGTAAGTCTGTGGTTTATGAAACACCAAGAGAGTCCTGAAATTAGAATACAAATAACCCCGCTTATTTTATATTATTTTTTGATGAATCGCATGAGCGATTATGATATTAATCAGAACCTATTTCTGCATGTATGTATATGTGTCTCACTGAAAGCATTTATCAAAGTCCTCCAGGTCAACCCAGGTCTTCTGTAGGACCGGCTTGTTATTAGCATAGTAGGATTCCTCAGTTACAGGCTTTTTGATTTCAGTTTGGGGCCTATCTGCAAATAAAGTTTAAATTGAACATAAGGTGACACCGTTCCTGAGTAATAATACATTTATATACATGCATTTTCTTGTGTTAGTCATTTGGTATAACGTAGTATGCATGTAGACTATAGACACCTAGCTGAAAGTGGAGCCACTGGGTAAAATTCTTGATATCCTCTTTGTCAAAATTCAGTAACTAAACGCTTTTCCTTTTGTGACTCATAGCAAGTTATCCTAGACTCAAATCATTATCTTAAACACAGCCGAGCCGAATTGGCCAAACTCCCACATAATGGCACAGTGTAAGCGCACATGCACATCCTCACTCCCACTCACCGACTCCCACTATCTCAATGCATCTCATAGACATATGCACACATCCCCAAAAAAACACACACATGCACACCCATACACATACAAACAGTCTGCCCCCGAGCTCTACTTAAAGCGAGAGTCTGATCAGAAAGCTGAGGTGGCGAGGGCCACCGTCTCTGCTGTTGAGCAATGGTGGTCCGTTAACTCAAACTGCAGGTGTTACTAAGCAACTAAACGGGGGCAGAGAGGAGGCAGGGAATTGGCCGGTTGTCACAAAGCATAATTTCAGTCCTATCTTTTTCAAAACGTCTCGACCAACCGCTACGAGCACGGAGAGGACGATGGTTGGATTGGAGGCAAGAGATAAAAAATATGTCTAATTACATTAATTGGGACTATGATGCACGGATGCCGTTCGAGTCAAACAGTAATGAAGACCTCCATAACATATGTCAACTGCATAAAAAACCCCAGAAAAAGCTGAAAATAAGGGGCATTTGTTATTTGTGGCAGTCTAATATTTGACCTCGGGTAAAGCCATCTTATGTTGGGATTCAAAGACAGCTCGCATTAGGGGCCTGGTGTTGCAAAGGAACAGCTTTTACCATTGGAGATGTCATCACTGTTCTTCTTGTCCTCTGCAGTAACCTAAAGGGACAACGAGAGAGTGAAAAAAGAGAAAGTGAGAGAGGCATGAACTGTGTGTTGCTGACAGAGTAGCACTGGCAGAGATACGCCTCCACCCTCTAGTGATTCCATGCCAGCTGTGGTGTTGGGCCATTCTCACCCAACGCTGAGACACGGTTTAATGTGACAGGGTCTGCCCCTCCCCCTGCTAAAAACACCAACAGGGAATACCAGCTCTAATTTACCCCGACTGTCAGTGACAGATGAGGAGTTATAATGTTGTTTAGTGTGTTGCTTCTCTGAGAGGGGATTTACTAAACAGTTCTGATTTCATGCTCATCTGGCCAGCACAATAAAGAAACATAGCTAATGAGTTATTATCATATGCTTCAAGTAGCATTATGTTTGGTGTGAGCAAGAAGGAAGATGCTGTGGTCTTTAAAAGAGCATTAGAGCTATCAAAGAGAATTGCAAGAATTAGTACACCAATATCAGCTGGCTCCAACTTTCCTCCAGCCTCCCCACCTCCTTAAAAAAAATTTTTTTTTAATGTATTTCAAACAATGCTCCCCTCCGGGAAAATTCTGTTGAACGTCCAACAGTTTACTCAGCTCCGAAGAAGAATTATATATCTTCGTGTCATGTAACTTCAAAGCAACCCCTGCCAAGACTCTCTGATGAGTCAGAGTGAGTGTGTGTGTGTCTCTGTATGTGAGTCACCGCATATTTGAATAAGTACCCAGAGACCCAGACAGACGGAAAGAGGCATTGTGATTGGGAGGCACACTTGACCTCCTCTTCATCACTGTATAGCAACACTTTCCTGCTGCAAAAATGTCAGCGCGTATGTCAACGTGTCTTGTGTGCATAAAACTTTAAGCTTTCGAGCTCCAGTCTGCGGTAGGTCCTGTTCACTGACAGCACGGCACTTTGGTGCGCTGCTTGTTTTACCTGTGTAGACTAAGGAGATATTGAGACAGACACAATTTACACACAGGGCTCCTAGGAGTTTAGCTGCTGCTTTTGGCTTTTTAGCAATTTTCCACCAAAAAAGAAATCACAGTCATGATGGGAGAAAGATGGCATTATCAAAAGCCACCCCACCGTTTTATTTTTGCACAGACAAATTAAAGCATTTCCAGTGTACTCTTAACATATTTAACATTCTCCCCCTGAGATAAACTGTAATTAGTGATGCAAACTGAAACTATGCAGGTGCTTGGTTGTTTAATGACTACCATACTCATATTAGAAGTTGAAACATAATGCACTAACCCACACTACAGTTGAGAGAGTGGGGCATTTAGGGTATTACGCACATCATGTGAAGGCACCTTCTTCTCTCATAGAAATATAGAGCTGGATCAAAAAAAACAAAAAGAAAAAAACCCTCTCATGTCATTTATAGTCTGTCAACACGTGACCCTGCCATGTGCTTGTCAAGAGCAGGAACACACACTTTAGATAAATGTGGCCCATGTGACACACACACACACACACGCCTGCACACACATCAAACGACACATCAAATTAGCATGTCCACACTGCCCTAACCTAACCGCTCTATAACTGGTCACAGTTACACAAGAGGGCGATTAATATGAACTCTATTTTTTCCCCTATGCTAGGAGTGAAGTGTAATAATGAAGCCCCCAGGAGACGCAGACACTGATGGCTCATCATCTAATTGCGCTGCTTTTTTCATCAGCACAGTACATGACCTCTCCCTGCATGAAACCCACGCATTCAGCACACCACCACCACACACCAGAGATTCTCTCTTCCCCGCTTCCCAGTTTCTTGCCCCGCAAGAATTTTAGTGCAAATGTGACTCTGTTTATATTTTCTTATTTTTTTTAGTTCCCCTAAATTTTTTTTAATTGAACAATACAGTTGTCCACCCTTTTTTCTTTTAGTCTTTGTTATCTTTGTTTCTGCCCTCTTCTCTTTGTCTGCATGTGTCTGCTACAATGAATCCCCACCCCCTGTTATTTCCCTTTCCTAGCTGGTTCTCTCTTTAGTGCAGATGTGCCCCTGGTCAGTAGTGGCCTGGCTGGGAGACAACAGAAGTGACTTTGAGACTGGGGGATGGCAGCCGTGTTGTCACTGACACACAGAACTACTCTGAATAGCCTTTGACCGCATACATGCAGGGCAGAGAGAGGAGTGAGGCAACAGGAAAGCAATGAAATGAAGACATGACAAAGGGCAACAAATTTTTTTGCAGAAATAAAATAAGGTCTTCATTCATTCTTTTTTTGGCATTCCAACAGGTCACAGATGCTTAAATTCTATTTGAGGGATAACAGCGGTTCTACAACGATGCTTTGTTTGCAAATATTTGTGAAATCTGAAAATATTTCACCCTCGTGGACCATAATGCTATATACCTCCATTTTGTCAGTGCAGTTTGGTGAGTTAGTGGTGCATTCAGCCGCGTCAAGCTCAAGGCCTTCTTGACATTCAGTCTCCTCTTCCTCAGTAATGGAGACCAGAGGGGATCTGTGGGAACACTTCCTGGGAGTGTTTTGCTTGGTCTCTCTGACACATAAAGACACATATTCAAGCACCAAGTTGTGTGCAAATGTAACATATCATAATCATACCATACACAGATCTCATTGCATTCTATAATCTGTCATTTTTCTTTGTTGATCCTAAGTAGATACAAAAATATATAGTATTACGGTAGCAAATAGGAGCAAATCTCTAATCTTTACTCCACTGTGGGTTGTAAAACACAAAAGCAAAATTCCCATAGTTCACATTTCTCAATTACTATGAATGCATTCATAACAGAGAGTCGAGATGGTGGTTAAGTAAGATCGTAAAAAAAACAGGTGATAATGGTGTATTATGATAATGGTGATGTACTTTGTTGACCTCCATATGGAAGCTGTTATCATGCTTTCCTTTTTCTATAAAGAGGTCAGGCTCAGGTTACCTATAGACTACTGAAAAACATCAGAAAGGAGAGAAGAAAATGTTATTTATAAATTTATCAGTTTCAGTGTACGCACGGCTCTGGAACTGAGCCCCCGCTGCTCCTGGTACGGTAGGAGAGAAAAGGGCTGGCAACCTCAATGAACTGCTCTGGTTTTGACAAAGGGATCTCTACAAAAAAAGGGAGAGAAAAATTTTTTTTACATATCATGCCAGCACCGATTTTTCACACTCTGACTCTTTTTACTTCATTTTCTGTTTTTCACTCAGAGATCAGCTGATGTCAGATATGCCTGAGCCAGCAGCTATTTTCAAAACTGAAATAATGTAGCTGCCCTACTCCTATTTTCATTTCAGCATGCGGTGCCGCATGCCCTCTCTAGTGCAGGTTCTAAATCTCCTGCATTAACACTCACTTTTCGTTGGAGTCATATTTATTTATGCCATTCACCTACACGCTATCGCATAATTTGTGCTTTTCTCTTTGTTTGATATCCTCCCCTGCATACTCCTCCTGATTCCCCTTCACCGCCTTTATTCCAAACTTAATCTTAACATCTTTCATTTCCTGTTTCAATCTTCCTCTAACTTACTCTTTGGTTCAGCAGTGACCAAGATCTCCTTGGGCTGACGGATGAGTTTCCAACTGGGCACAGGTGGAGGTTTGGGTGGTGACTCTAGCGGGCATGTGCGGGTACGAGTCAACAGGACAGCATGGCTGTGTAGCAAGGAGAGGCCATAACGACGTAGAAATTCAGAGGAATTAGCCTGCATAACCGACACACATACACAGAAATCATGCATGCAGGAGTCAACCATGAATATTTAAAAAATACTCTGGCAGATAATTAGAAACTGTTCTCCAATCAGGTTTAGCTGTGTGTATAGTAAACATTTTTTTAATCTTTATCACCCACTGCATTTTAACAATATTGTGTGAGTATCTAAGGTGTTAGTTTAAAAACATAGCGACATATTAGCATGGAAGACAGAATCATTCAGGCAATAAGTTCAGACACATCTGCCAAAATACATGAAAATACAGTATGTAAGGCAAAAACAGCAATTGCACAATTCTAATGAGCTTTAAAGTCAATATTTGGTATGATCACTTTTTTAAACATCATAGCCTGAACTCTCTTGGGAAAAATTTCTTTTCAGGAATAGTTCTCCAGGCTTCTTGAAGGACGTTTAAAGCATGTGTTTTGCTCCTTTCTCTGTCAAGATGATCCCACACTGCTTCAATAATGTGGAGATACAGGCTCTGGGGAGGCCAATCCCTGACTGAGTTTCATTGTGTGTTTTTCTACCCAGGTATAATTACTGCAGTGGCAGTGTGGTTGTGATTACTGTCCTGTTGACAATTGGAACCCCTGCCAATGAGCTATATAAGCACCAGTCCATTTACCATCAATTTTGAAAAGATCTCCGACAGAACTGGCCCAAACCATGACAGAGACTCCAGTGTGTCAGTATGTTTTACAGATGACTGTAGACACTCACTCTCATTAACCCCACCATACATACTGATGGCATTTTAAATCAAAAATGTAAAATGTGGAAATTTTCCATCAGACCTGTTGCTACTGAATTGTGTAATTTGGCATACCTCAGCCTTTTGTGCTGTTCCCCTTTCTAGAGAATGGCTTCTTGACAGCCAGCTTTCCACCGAGACCATTTCTGATGAGCTTTCAACGAACAGTAGATGGCTCAAGTAAAGGGTCTAGTGTGTCTCTCAGGTCCTGTGCCAGATCTTTGCTGGATATTACTTAAGCACAAGACTTTCAGATACTGTTCATTTGCTATAAATATTTTTCAGGCCTCAGATTTTTTTTAAGGATAAACTGCTAATTATGCTGAAATATGTCAATTCTTTTTATTTATTTGTTTTATGCCTGTCAAACTCTGTTATCATTCACATTTTTCAAAGATTAAGCTCAGGAAATGGGAACAAATTATGTGTTTTTGTAACAAAGTGCCTAAAGATACCATTTGAAACTGGTTCTTTGCTAAGTTGTGTGGATACAACACTGGTTCATTCTGTGAATTAGGTGATTTTATTAACGCTTGAATGATTCATAGTTACATGTTAAGTGGGTTAACATACAAAAAACCTTTGGAGAGCCTGCAGAACTATTGCTCAGGAACCTTTAGAAAATTACAGTTAAATAAATAACTTGACTCAAGACACAGTACGGTATATGAAATCATTACATAAAATTTGTGTATATATACTTTAAACCTGTCACGATGTGCATGTTACAGTTACATCATAATGTGAATTTGTATCCTCGCAAATTTGCACTAAATACCTAACTACAATCTCTAGCAAGTGAAATCGAAATTTCATAGTTCCAAAAGTCTGAAGACTAAAAATTGCACATTATGAGTCAACATATATACGTGGTCAACATTTTACGAGGAAAAATAAAAAGACATACCATTTGGCGAAACCCAAAGGAACCGTTATGTAGTTGAAAAGGGTAGCAGGCAGCACAAACCACTATGTCAGGGTCTGCTGAGAAACACACGCAATGAACAATAACAGGTACAGATAAACTGCATTGTCATAAGTGTTAATATACAACTAATTTTAGAGTCTAAATGTGATTGATTCTAAATAGTAACATCAATATAGTGAAAGCGCCACACGACAATTAAATGAAATCCAACAAGAGAAAGCATAGCTGACAAAACATACCATACACAAAATAGCTTCCTACAACCTGTTTCACACCCCCTGCCTGGAACGGGGGTCCTACAGGCAGTTTTTGGTACGCTTTGGCTTTGTCCCAGTTTGCTGCTGGTTCGCGGCAGCACCTGCTCGCCAACACCTCTAAGGGGAGGGGGTCAATATGTGTACATGTGTCTTTATGTCTTTCTGTGTGTCAATAGTGGGTAGGTGAGTGTAGGGCTGGTTATCGTCACTGATTTCTATAATCGATTCGATTCCGATTCACAAGGTCCCGATTCGATTCAATTTTGATTCAGACAGTCAGAAATATTATAATTCTGATCATTTATCAGTACATATCCATATTTTTATATCTATGTATAAAAACAAAGCTGACACTTGTGAGACTTCATCAGAGCATCACAGCAGATGCCTCTGTGTCAAAGTAACTGAGGATAAAACACAGAAAAGTTTTAAAAAGTTTAAATTTCTTTGGTATTAAACAGTCAAAATTAGGCTTTCTTGTTGGAAAAAGAAAAAAGAAAAAAAAAACACAGGCCGACAGCACTGTACACAACACTAGACTGGTGTTTAATAAGCAAGTGAATAATGAAGAAAACAGAGATTTGAGATGGCAAACTGTTCTTGAAGTACAATGAGCTGTGCAGGAAGTGTGATTTTATCGTGTTGGAAATAAAACAGCAAAAGTAAGAGGGAATTAATGACAATGTTTATCAAATGTGAAGTGTAGCTTTGATCTTCTTTTGCTGCTGGTGAAGTGAATTTTGGTCAGAGAGTGAAGAAACCTGTCGGCATCAGAATCTGTGAGATGTCAGCTTTCACCACCCGATGGCGTGTCTGTTTATGTGCTGTTGGGTGAACGATCCGCGCTTTGTGTTTACATCTTTGTGCCGAATGTGTTTACCTGCTCTCAAATAGTTTTGTGAGCTTTAACCTGAGATTCTGGCGTTTCTGACAAAATAGATTTATATTTAAAAATCGATTCAGGATTTAATGAAGCAATATCACGGTATTCAAGCTAAAATCGATTTGAATCGGAAAATCGATTTTTTAAACCTACTGCTAGGTGAGAGTGAGTGAGCGAACGGCCTGTATGAGTGTGTGTGTGCATGGCTGGAGCTCGCTGAGCCTTTGCCCCTGTGGGACATGGTCAACGCTCCCCACTGGAGGCTTCTCTGTTTGTTGGTTCCACGGTGCATGGCTGGATGTTCTGGTGTGGTCGTTGGCCCACTGCCTGGCTTGGACCTTCTCCTTAGGACCTGGATCTCAACTCGTAAAAGGGTGGCCCGCCTCTAGCAGGGTCAACTTCCCGTTGCCTCTGGTCCTCTGGGACTCTCACCCTTTGGTCGTGTGGCCTTCCTCCGGGGATGTCGCCGAGAAGTGTGATCTCAAGTCTACGGTACTCTTGGGAGCTGTGGATTGCACGGTTGTCCTGGTTCCATCTCAGTCTGCCTCTGGCTCCTGGGGGCGTTATTGCGGCTTTACACCTTCATTATCAAGTACATTTGAGACAAAGACACAGATACTCCCACCCTCTCTCTCTCACATTCACACTATAAGAAGATTGTTGACCTATATATTTGTGTATTTTCTAATTTTTGTGTTCCACGTGCTGTATGTTTGTTTTTTCTTAGAGGTGCAGCAGTTGGCGATTGTGTATTTCTATTTGCACTCTATCCTTTTATTACATCCACAGGTATAAACAATGAGGCTATATTTAGGTTCTTTAGGGAGTTCTTCCCCCTTTAGTGCATCTTAAAAGTATATCATATAAGAGCACATGGGCCAGGAGACATGGAAAATCAATTTGGCAGACCATGGTGAAGAGTGATGGGAACACCGCCAGGCTAATATAAAGGCTACACATTAAAAATTGAAAAGAGAAGTTGTTCTCACATTGACTACTAATTTCTGCATTTCACTGGAATTTCACAGTAAGCACCAAAACAGCGAAATAGAAGAAATGTGTAGGGTCTTTTAGTGTTTGCACACGTAGAAAAGGACAATGCAGCAGATTTCCCTCAAGTAGAAAATGTTTTGTGAAGTAATACCACCTTCACATGCATGACATCACATTATGTTAATATGCAACACTTGAGTTATTCCAAACAAGTGAGACTGTAGCAGAACACAGGGAACAGTTTACTGTCAGAAAGAGCAGGTGGGTGAATGTGAGAGCAAAACATAATTATATAGAACATAATTTATATAGAAGTTGAAAATAGCAAAACATCACACAAGGATTTCTGAATTCAATACTCTAAATATTACATATGCAGGTTTTAATACAAGAGGAAGCTTTTCTTCCACATAATTACCTCATAATTACCTGTTTTGCCCCTTCACCTTTAATATGCAACACCAAGACCTTAGCTAATTTATCCACGCAATTAGCATTTTGAGCAAAGCATTTAAATGAACTGTACAGCCTTAAAAAGCATTGTATTTCTGCTATGGCCTGAAACGACTCCAAGCAACAAATACATTTGTGAGGACGTTTCACTTTTATCTTCCCACAGTTGACCGGGGAAGCTCTCCTGCCCTGCGGGAGCACCAAATAATTTACCCTTCTAAAGCTCCCTCTGCTGGTTTATTTATGGTCCACCATACACACATTAACCCTCTGCACTCCATAATATATGGGCGGCAGACCTCACAAAAGACAGGAAGTTATTCTTGATGTAACATGAAAGAGGCCCCAGGGCTGACAACGGAGTTCAGAAAGTTTGGCATTTCGAAGTACAGCAAAGTAGTGACTTTAGGTCTTAAGCCTGTCCTGTCCTAAAGTAAATCCCTAGACCAAAACTGTGATTGCTACAAGTTGGATTTCTTTAGCTCTATAAGCATTAACTCTATACTTGTGAACTTTTAAGCAGGACCTCCGTATTTAAATTAAGCAGACCTTCCTCTACCTCTCTACCAAGTTTCACGAAATTCAGTTTTGTCCTTTTTATGTCATTGTGGTGAGAAACAGACTGGCTTCTGGTGTGCCTTGGGAAAGGAAATATATATTGCATATTGCTGTTAATTCAGCAAAGGAAATATAGACATGACATATAAATCCATTAATACAGCACAGTTACAAAGACACAGGACACAGAAATGACTCTAAAACCATCTGCTGATAAATTAATTAACTGAGCAGCAAAGCAATTCTGTGCATACAAATTATGACAGTAATGGCTGACTGCATTGACTTACTCACTCAATTAAACGTGCAAGCAGAGTGTGTAATTGAGACAAAAGTTTGCAAGTATGTATAATTGCATAATTATTTGCCTCTTTGTGACTTTGTGTCTTATTTGTTGTGGCTAACTGAGGCACAATATCTACCTTTACATTGCTCTGACTCAAGTAGCTGATTCTTACTGTTACTTAGGGTGGAATCCTTGACTTGAGCTGCATCTGTGGGCTCAGGCTTTGTCACTGGCAAACTGTCATCCAGGTGTTTAAATGTAGGAGTGGAGTGTTGTAAGAAATCCCAAATTTCTCTCAAGTACACTGACCTGAAAGAGAGGTAAAGACAACATTATCAGGCTACAGCAGGTTATATTAGTTTCACTGTAATCACTTGTTAACTAGCTGCCCCAAATAGAAAACATTTCACAATGTCACCAGTAGGGATGGGTACCGGTATCCGGTGCCATGATGGCACCGG